TTGATCATTTGCTGCCTGTCGTGGTTTTTTTGTTTCGCCTGCGGGGGGACACGATGATTGGCACGCGCCGCCTCAGTCTCCGGCTCGAAGGGCGCGGCGGGGGTAACTGCATAGCCGACCGGGGGCATGTAGAAGTGAACATGTTTCAACTAAGCCATTGTTGCCACAGAGGAGCGCGTTAATAGCTGGTCCTATAGCCTAGCCGAGACGGTTGTCGGGATGAGTTTTTTTCTTTTTTTTTTGCTCCTGCTGCTGTGTTATGGTTGCATGCCGTTGTGCACTGCCATCGGTCCCCGCACCCCACGCCCGATACATCCATACCATGCGTTTTAATAGCAAGAGCGTAGTAGTTTTACGAAGGGAATCATGCGTGGGCGCCCTGAAACACGGCGCCTCCTCCCAATGATAATACGCCGTCACGCAAAGCACGACGACTCATGACCCCTACACTCCGCCGAACGAGTCGAACCGCTACAATATGTATGATACCTATGTATATTATAGCGAGTCGAACCGCTACAATATATCCATCACAAAGGAGGGGCCCGAAAAGCTATATTTAAAAAGGAAAATTGTCCACCCCCCCCCCCCGGTGTTTGCCATCGGGGTTGGGTTTTCGTCCCTTGGCAACGACGTTGTGAAACAAGCCGCCCCCCCCGGTGTTTGCCATCGGGGTTGGGTTTTCCTCCCTTGGCAGCGATGTTGTAAAACAAGCCAATTCACTTCGTGAGCTCGGCAACCAGGTCACGGCTTTTTTTTTTTTTTGCCTTTTTTTTTTTTGGGGGGAAACCTAAAAGGGGGGCGAATAAAACATGGTGTGGGGGGGGGAAAAACCCCCCTCCCCGCAACGGGGGAAGAACCCCCCCCCTTGTGTTAAAAAGGGCAAACATCCCCCAAGGAATTACACAATGGTTAAAAATGGCTCTGGGAATGAAAACACCCAAAAAAAAAATAAATCCTAAGGAGCTGTCCTCCCTACCCCAGGGAGTAAACCCAAAAAGCCCAAAACCCCTAACAAGAAGCAACTCACCCTTTCTGGGACTCCCCCAAAAACCTCCGGGGCTTCCCGCTTGGGGATGTGAGAACCCGGGCCCGGGAAAAACCCGCGTGGTCCCTCCCCGCTTTTTAGGGATGCCAAG